ATTAACTTTCTAAAGTGTTAAATTAAGTGGAAAAGACAAGTCTAAAAACGCTTATAATAGCTGGATCTGGCAACACAGGAGAGGCTGCGCCCGCCTCGTTCACTCCGCCAACGTCTCGTAGCGATCATTTTCATAACAGGGACGCTAAACATTCTTGCAAACTGTCTAAACATGCAGGCATTCATATGAGGAGTTTAACAGCAAATTAATCATTCAAAGAACAAATTTTATTTTTGAACATGAAAAATTTACCGAGGTCTAGAGTAGACCTCGGTGGCCTCATAGCTGGTTACGGGCCTGAACATAACCACTTCGGGAGTGCATTATTTCTCTAATAATTGTAACGGCCTGGAGTCACAATCACACATCAATTGTTCAGATGATTTGTTTCAAGACATTTGACATGTTTCTGTCCTGAAATCTCGTGTGTGTTGAACTAGCTATTTTTTTTACGCACCTCATCCCAAACCTTCCGTTGCAAATTCCAAAACGTCATTTTAGAGCTAATAACAGAGGCTTGAGCCATTGATATGCAGGCTAATGCAGTTATTAGAGAGAGAAAGAGAATACTTGCGTCTGTGCGTCTCTCAGCAGTATTCAGCAGCAGCGTCTAGTCATAGCGAATCTTTAAGTTGAACTGCTTCAAAAACCTCGCTACTGAGAAATGCGAAACTATTTTATTGATAAATTCGCGGGGCAGCCGCAGCTCTGACAACAAGTTTCTGTCCGCGTCTCCGCGTGTGTGCGCGAGTGCGTGTCTGTACTGTGCGTGCATTTGTGAGAGAGAACGGGAGAAAGAAAGCGTGATTTCCATGATTTCTGTATAAAAAAGGTGGAAGACATGGAAATAGTTTGTCATTTTTACCCTATTGTTTGTTATATTTATTTGCTCAATGTCTTGAGCAATGCGTAAATCCGGCCCTGTTAGACGGCAATCGGAAGTTATTACAAACACTCGATGGTGGTTTAAAGTGAGTTTTGAGTAAAAGCGGAATATAAATCTGATTTATTGTCTTATGTAGCATGATGCTACAGTTTGCATGAATGGTCACATAACACGCACTTTCGGTCGTGTAACGTTAGTATGAACGGACATCTGCATATGATCGGAACTCCACGCAGCTCCCGCGATCTTTTGCAAATAAGATAAGATAAAGATATCGCTGACTCTAAACTGCAACTTCCTACTTTATTAACTTTCTAAAGTGTTAAATTAAGTGGAAAAGACAAGTCTAAAAACGCTTATAATAGCTGGATCTGGCAACACAGGAGAGGCTGCACCCGCCTCGTTCACTCCGCCAACGTCTCGTAGCGATCATTTTCATAACAGGGACGCTAAACATTCTTGCAAACTGTCTAAACATGCAGGCATTCATATGAGGAGTTTAACAGCAAATTAATCATTCAAAGAACAAATTTTATTTTTGAACATGAAAAATTTACCGAGGTCTAGAGTAGACCTCGGTGGCCTCATAGCTGGTTACGGGCCTGAACATAACCACTTCGGGAGTGCATTATTTCTCTAATATTGTA